ATACCTTACCTATGAGGGGGTACCGGTGGCCATTTTGGACCATGGTTTTCATCGGCTGAGAAACCGGGCAGTGAGCCTTGGGAAGATGCTGTGGAGCCGACATGACGAATCCGAGACGACTTGCGGGAAGGAGGCCGAGATTAGGGGGAGATTCCACGTTCTCATTTTTGAGGTCTTTGTATTCTTTTAGTTCGTGAGTTTTCTTTCGTCTTCGAATTCTGAGGTCGGAATTCATTTTAAGGTGAGTAGATTGTTGCGCCCCATTTGTTCTGAATTATTTATGGAATTATTATTTATTTTATTTGTCCGGTTTTATTTTATTCGTGCTCGATTATTATTTTCCATTGCGATTATGTGCTCGTAAATGTCTAATTGTCTTTATTACATATTAATATATATAAATTAGTATTGTGTGTAATGTATATATACATATGTATATGTATATATATATATATAATCTGGTTTTATTTATTTCGAGCCATATTTTTTTTTTAAATCGAATCGAGCGAAAATTCTTTTTTATCGCGTTATATTCCTTCTAGCCCAATTTAGGATTTTATTTTTGGCCCAATTAAATAAAATTCTTTAGCCCAATTGGTTTAATTATTTGTTTAGCCCATGCTTGAGATATTTTTTAGCCGTATGACTCCTTCTCTTTCCCCACGTACACAGTAACACAGACCAGTTCATCCTCCCCGTTTTGCTCGACGATCGAGTCTTCTTCCTCCCTTATCTCCACGTTCAAGCTTCAACTGTGATTTTTTAGCAGGTAACGGTTCTCTCCCTTATCTCTCCAGCTGATACCGCATATAAGTCTCCATCCCTCTCCATCTCGTACAGAACACAAATCACTCTCCTCGTCCTCCCAAAATTCTCCCTTCCCTTTCGCTGCTCTAAATCGACCGCAATCTTCGGCCACCATCATCATCATCAGAACCTCGCTGCGAACAGCAACTCGCAACCGCTACACCTTCGCGCTCCGACGAGTTCCCTTCTCCCCAGCATCAACGTCGAGCAGCAGCGGCTAGAAGAGCGCCCTTCTCGCTGCAGGCAGGCCCAAATTTTCTGTCGTGCATCCCCTCAACGCCGGTCTTCATGTCTGCAAGCCCTCGCCATCAATCCCAGTCACCATCGAGATGCGAACCGTCACTGTCGCGTGCCTCTGTTTCGCGAGCAACTCGTTGTCGCGTGCCTCTATTTCGCGAGCAACTCGCCTCCGTCCTCTGTCGTCTAGCAGCGGTTGGTTCCAGTAAAGTTCCGCCATCACATGAGAAGCAGCCTCCATCCAAATTGAGCAGCGGCGGCTGTAACATCTCAGTATTTTATTAATAATTAGGTGTCATTAGCTTCCGAGTTTAAAGCTAATTTTTATTATTAAATGCTCGATTTTAGTTCAGAGAATAAGTTATTAAATTCATAAAGTTCCACGTTCCAGTTCAAGTCCAGAAAATTCAGAAGAAATATCATCTTGAAGGCGAATAAAATATTTAGTCCAAGTCTGTTTATTAGTGAGGAATAGTATTAATCGAGAAAGGAAATTAATCCAAGAGTATTTAATGAAACATAGAAAATCAAGCTTTAGATATAAGCCAAGTTAAGGTCGGCATAAGTCCCGACCCAAGCCACAGCTCACGGCCCAACAGTCGCTCGAGCAACCTAGTACCTACTCGGCCTAACGCTCGCGCCAGCCCACGTGTGCTAGCAAGCCTGCAGCACAACCTAGCAAGACCACAACACGCAGCCCAGCATGGCCCAGCAGGCCATTGCGCGCCTAGCAGCGCAGCCAGCATGGCCCAGTAGGCCAGTGCACGCCCAGCAGCACAGCCTAGTGAGTAGTCCCGCGCGCAGCCAGTGCACAGTCCCACGCTGATGAAGATCGCGTGTCCCGACTGTCGATAAGCCACAAACCAGTGCCTTGAATCGCCGATAGTTGCCTAGAGGTTCACAAACCGCACCCCTCTAAACGAATATAATTCAATAGAATTTTGGTGAAAAAACTAAAGCAAAGAGAATGAACAAAAGTTCTGATTTCTATTGATAAATTTGATGATGAAAAAATAACATGGGGGAAGGCCCTTTATATAGGCACCAACTAGATTTACTCCTAAATTAACTAGAACCCTAAATAAGCAATAAAATATTAAGTATCCTAAATAATCTAGATATCATAACATAATAAGGAAACTAAATAACTAGGGATCTTGAACTTGTCTTGCACTCCAAGTAACCTCCTTCTCTCTCTTTCGGCCGCCTCAACCCACCGCCTTATGCCCAACCACCCGCGCCTTGCCCTAGTCTTCGAGGACTAGGGTGCCACCTCTTCCGTGCGTGCACTGCCATGCGGCGTGCCGCGCACGCCAGCGCTCCCTGCGCCCATCCCGCGCGCGTGGCTGTCCGCTCCTCCGCATGCCTCGAGGCATGAGGCCTAGCAGGTCTGGCGCGCGCGTGCCTTATTGCTGCCCACTTCCTCTCTTGCTACGCCCGTTTCTTGCGCGTCTTGCACGCCTCCGCAAGCTGTCGCCCGATCGCCTGCTTCACGTGCCTGTCGCGCGCGACCGTCTTTGCTCGTTGACTGGCCCTTCACGCAAACCTCCTGTGCATTCCCGTCGAGGGTTTGCGCCTCGCCCGTGGTCCGTGCCAACCTTTTGCGTGCGTGGTAGGCGCGACTTGCGGCGTTCTTGAGCTGCCTAGCCACTTACGCATCATTCCCGTCCCCTTCATGTGTTTCCTTGTCCTCAAGGACGAAATTCGAGAATTGATCGCGTATCTCGTCAAGATCTTCCCATGTGGCTTGTTCCTATGGCAACTCTTCCCATTCGGCTAGTACCTCCCAGCGATAGCGACCTGCTTTCCTAACTTGGCGATATTCAATCGCACGTCTTGGGCGCACTATGACCCCACCATTAGTCGCAGTCGCCGGAAACTCTTCGCACCACTTGTGCGCTTCTCCTAGACTTCTCTTGACCTAAGAGACATGTATGACCGGAGGAATGTGGGAACTCTCCGGTAACTCTAGTCAATAAGCTACTTGGCTAATGCGCTTCAAAATCTGATATGGCTCATAGTAGCGCACCCCTAGCTTAGTAGCCGCCCTTTGTGCTGTCGTGCGCTGTCTGAATGGTCGCAGCTTCAAGTAGACAAATTCGCCTAGCATAAAATTCTCCTCTCGCCTTTTTCCATCTGCGAAGGCTTTGGTTCGATTATTCGAGCCTTCAAGATTTTTCTTCAATTCCCGCAACATCAAATCTCTTTCCTCAATTTCTCGACCTACCTCATCATTGATTGTGCCACCTTCTGAATAATTAATGAGCGTCGGCGGTTTACGCCCATATACTAACTCAAATGGCGTCATCTTGGTCCACTCATGGTACGTGGTGTTGTACCAATACTCAGCCCATGGTAGAAAATTTTACCACTTCTTCGAAAATTGATGGACATAGCACCTCAAGTACTGTTCAAGAGTTCGGTTAGTTACCTCAGTTTGTCCATCCGTTTGTGGGTGGTATGCTGAGCTCATTGACAACTTGGTCCCTTGCAGCTTGAAGAATTCAGACCAAAAACTACTCATAAAAATGCAATCCCGGTCGGAAACAATAGATCGTGGTGCTCCATGCAGCTTCATGACATACTCCACGAATAACTTGACGATAGACTTTGCCGTGTAGGGATGTGCGATGGGAATGAAATGAGCGTACTTCGTAAGTCGATCCACCACGACCATAACATCGTTGAACCCATTAGAACTCGGTAGTCCTTCAATGAAGTCCATCATAATATCCTCCCAAATGGCCTCGGGTACTGGTAGTGGTTGTAGCAGTCTGCTTGGTTGCCTCGGTCAGCCTTGGTGCGTTGGCACTCGTCGCACCGTGCGACATATTCTCAGACCGTGCCCTGTTGTCCTGGCCAGAAGAAAGTGTTGACCATCCTCATCTACGTGCGGTAAACTCCCGAGTGCCCTCTAATCTTAGAATCGTGGAAGTGCTGCATGATCTTTTCACGTAGTTGCCCACTGTCGGGAACAAATACTCGGCCTCGGTGAAGTAGAAGGCCATTGTGCAGCTCGTAATCAGTGGTGGTAGTCTCCTGCCTTGATCTTCCGGCGCAGCTCCTGGCAATAAGTATTCTCCTCTTGTGCCTTCCGAACTTCCTCCTAAACGGCCCATATTGGTCCGGTGATAGCCTCGAGCTCGGTTACATCTGTCCGTCAGGATAATTCATCGGTCACATCATTCTGTCACCCCGGCCGGTAGACTATCTCGAAGTCGAATCCCATGAGTTTGGAGACAAACTTCTGCTGCTCGGAGGTAACAATCCTTTGCTCGAGTAGATGCTTGAACGGCTGCTGGTCGGTTACAATTCGAAATCGTCGCCCCAATAAATAGGGCCTCCAGCATCTCACAGCTTCGACAACTGCTAGCATCTTCTTC